AAAGAGCAACAGGAAATACAATGAACTGACTCTAGATGTATTATTTATTTCTGCACTTCAATAATGATCTCATAGCTCACAAGTGGTGGAGGGAACCTGAGCCACTTGTGAATTATGAAAGGCCATCAATAACTCTTGGCAATAAGTGATGCATCCAGTCAGACTTAATCCACACAGAATTCTGTTTATCCAACACCAGTTTTAGTTCAGTCTGCTCTGTTGGACAATTTTATTTTACATACTGTAGCAGTAAGTTTTTGGCTGCAACACCAAATAAGATTATATTTAAAGGAAAAGGAAAATTTTTAGCGTTTTAGTCAATAGCATGCAAATAAAACTAAAAACAAATGATGATCATTAACCAATGTACCCAAGTTAGACATAAAAACATACAGCAACGTGTATAAATGCACAGTATAAAAAAATTCTAGAACAAATCATTACACGCTTCTCTCAGCCTCTCCACAGGGGGAGAACAAACATGTCACAGATGTTAAACATATTGCTTTAATGTTCTACTAGAAGGTGCTGAGATACTACAGAAATGAGCACAGGACAAAAACAGGTACATCTATTTAGGTGGAATAAATGGGTCAAAGATCTTAACATAAGCCAGTCAATATCCAACACTGATCAACTGGATACAAGGTCCAGGGTCTTCTATTCCAAGACCTCAGAATGCTTAGTACAATGGCAAACAAAAGACCTTTTAACCTCTTATTAAGGAGAAAGAAAAGGAAAAGCAGTTAAAGCATCTGAACAGTAAAGTAAGACTTTCATTTTAAGAGCATCCCATGGTCCCTTCAGCTAAAGAAAGTCTAAAAAGTCAGGGGAGGGTAGGAATCATGTTTAACACTGATAGATGGCATTAAAGAGGGTGCCTGTCCTTTTAGGTGTACATGGCGCCAAATTTTGAAAAAACATGCTGTTTCGACACATCCCGTATGCCACATAGAACAAGGTTTATGGGAATGGAGAAAGAGCGCATCCACTTTTCCGAAGATGTCTTTGGAAAAGCGGATGCATTCCTTGGACGCGGCATTGCTTTTCCGGGATACAAAGTGCTGCAGTCTAGACGTAGCCTTAGTCTAGGAAATATTAAAGGGAGATATTGCAATATATTTAACTGATATTCAGAACAGTAGGAAAAATATAAATTTTACCTCTGCTACTTCCTTGAAAGTGTAACAACGACCCCAAGACCAATTAGAATGTTGTGACTGCCATAACAAACAGCTACAATTTTATAACAACACTTTAGAAAGAATTCTTGTTCCTGCTGCAAGTGCCTATGCCCTGTATCTTGAGCGAATGCTCCCTGTCCCCAAAAATATAAGCCATATGGTATACAATGTAGACAGTTGTTTGTGCACTCATACACTCAATCGTATCTTACACTGGTTTGTGGAAATGGAAGCATATATGCCATAAACCCAGCACCACTACATAGACACACGCAAAAACACAGTCCTTTTCGATTTAGTGCTAAATGATATTTAAATGTAATGAGCCATATCTACTAACAACATGGCATAGCAGGCAGTTTCAGTGAGCTATTGGTGCACTTTTCGGGTGGTTGAAGGCACTTGACCTTCATCCCTGTTCCTCACCAAATACTCCCAGCATGCCTCCAGAACCTAATACAACACTAAGCCACTGGAGTATGATATGTCATTAAGCACCAACTCTTCCATTTAGTGCTCTATGAAAGCTTCAAAGTGTGTATGTCCTCCACACTTCCATATAAATTGAGGCTTGAGTGCTTGGTCTTTGAGTTATTTGTCTTACAGAAACAAGAAGAGCAATGATTTTAATACCTTTTTGTGCCTCTAATGGCACTGCTGGCCAAGCAACCAAGTATAACCAAAACCCACAGCAGGAGATTCTTGGCTTTCTTCAAGTGTTTTATTCATACTGTAACAGTAAGCTATTCCTAAAACTTCCGTGAAACAGAATTAAGTTTTGTTTATGAATATAAGATTTGTATCATTTTTATTAGACAGCCGGTCTCGTGTGTGCTTGCTCAAAATACTGGGCAAACATTACATCTACTGGGAACTCACAAGAAGAAAGGAATTTTAGTTGTTCACCAAGAGAATGGGAAACATTTCAGGGAAAACTATAACCTCACCATCGCTGGTGCACTGGCAAATCCTTCACTGAAATCAATGGGAGTTTTGCCTATATAGACACTATCAAGTCCTTCCAATTGATTCCCCCGCCCCCAAACTGCCCACAAAATACTGGAACTGTCTTAAAACAAGTTATTTTCTATTACAAATTTTCAACTGGATGTTTTCAGCCATTAAAAACACTGTGGTAGAGTACACTGTTTCCCTCCTTTCTCTCGACTGGGACCACTAAAGCATGTATCATTTTCTGCAGGTGAGTAGGCCTGTGTGCATAAAGGAAGCATGTGAGCAAGTTGGCATGATTGCGGCCTTGGTCCTGTATGTTTACAGATACACTCTGGTATCTACTGCCTGCAGACAGCTGCCTTTTAACAGTGAACATACCAAGCTATTCAGAAGTTTATTCCAGTTTTAAATTAAACTGACCACATTTGTTGTATGCAAGAGTAAAATATTGTATTTATCACACTGTGTAAAATAATAATACAAAAGCACCCAATATTAGAAATACTACAACAGTACAGGATTGGTCGCTTTGAGATTCTCGGGTTTTGTTCAGTGTGGATTTAGGGGATCAAGGCCTTAGTGCAGCAAACCATCAGTGCACATGCTTATGTCCATCCTGACTCAGTAAAGCAGATGGGCCATATTTTGCTGAACAGGGTTAGACTGCTGAACTAAACTGGGCCCTCTAGCAGTAGGGCTTCTACCATTTCTCTTAAAAGATTTATCTGCAGACTAATAGGTCTCACCATTAGGAAAGTCTTTTTGATACTCACTTTTGTTTTATTTTGTTTTTGTTCTGCTTAGCTTCATTCTGTTAGGTCCATTAAATATTCCCATTGCCCACACTAAAACATTTCCTCTTGGAGTAGGCATTTGAGGCCCACTCAGGGTTCTGGGACTGAGTGACTGGACTAACATCAGCTTTCATTTTAAAATAAAGACACTCTTAGCCTTCTTCCATTGCAGAAATCAACTTACTTTTTCAAAGCTGGTCTTCAGAGATAAAGATCAATCAACTTTCTCACAGCTGACCTCAATTGGGCAGACACTGGCACCTGAATGGAGCACCTCTGTGATCAAAAGCTTCAGGGGGTAGCCGAGTTAGTCTGTTACAGAAAAAAACAACGAATGGTCTGGTAGCACTTTATAGACTAACAAAACATGTAGATGGGATCATGAGCTTTCGTGGGCACAGCCCACTTCTTCAGATGATCAGAGTTTTGAGTAGGGGATATGAAAACTCGAAATAAATAGGAGAAGGGAAAGGTGGGGGGTGAGGCGGGAGAGAATGATGCTCTGTCTCCTGAAGGTGCTAACAACTTTCTGAGTGGTATCCTTCCTGTCTTAGCAATCTATCTGTTGACTTGGATCTTTATCTGCTTAGGTTTAGCACCCATTCGCCAGATACTTAAAGAAAAAACAGGAAGGGGGTGGGAGACAGAGCATCATTCTCTCCCCCTTCCTCCCCCCCTTTTGCTTCTCCTATTTATTTCGAGTTTTCATATCCCCTACTCATAACTCTGGTCATCTGAAGAAGTGGGCTGCGCCCCCAAAAGTTCATGATACCATCTACATGTTTTGTTAGCCTATAAAGTGCTACCAGACCATTTGTTGTTGTTTTTCTATGATCAAAGGAGTTCTGATGGAATACAGCACATGGGCTAGTGGCAGTACCTATTTAGACACTACCCTTCTCTGCAAGCACTCATTGTTGACTTTGGGGGGCCTGCAAAGCCCATTGATTCAAAGAGAACTCTTCTAGTGGTTCCTGTTGGGGACCCTGGAATCTGAAGCATGTGAAAAAACTGTAAAGTCCCTGATCTCCACTGAAATATAAACACTGTGTAGGAGGATGTCAGGAACCAGGAATGCAGGACTCTGTGTTGAGATGCAGTCATTTTTTTAAATTAAAAATAAAAATCACCCTGCCACAGTGGCTGAAACTACTGGGTGATTTTATAACGGTTGGGAAGCAGTTTCTATAAAAATGTAGCAGAACATTGAAAAAAAATCAATAACCAGAAAGTGGCAGATGCCACGAAGAGCAGTAAAACAAAATGGAGGCGTTCACATTAAGACAGAACAAAAGAGGGCCTTATGTATCAGTTTTGCTGTGGTTTAATGCCATAGGCTCCAAACAGATTCACGGAATTTAAAGCCAGAAAGGACACTATGATCATTTTGCCTGACATCTTCCATAGAGCATTATACGTGAGAGGCACCACCAGACAGATGCAGTCAGAAAGCTTTATAGTCCCAGACTTGTTTCTGAAAAAGCGAGAAAATAAAATATTTGCTCTTTCACCACTTTCCCAGATTTTAGTCCTAAGCATTAACAGCTACCGCTTTTAGCTCCATCAGAGTGAGCTCCACTCTCTCATCTAGAGAAAATGTAAGCTGTATTCAGGCTGCCTCTGACCCCTGGAGAGGTTGGTCCTGTGGGCCCAGGTGGAGATCATTTACAGAGCCCTAGGGAAGCTCATGTTTCAGCTACCAGCATTGCACCTGGTCTGTGAATGAATAGAGGACTGAAATCCACAGCCCTTCCCACAAGCCCCTAAACTCCTTGGAACCAGCAATAAAAACAGTATAAAGTGAAAAGGAAAGAGTCTATTGTTTTAATAGGCAGCACTTCTTCCATTTGTTACATAAGTATAAATAATGTACATCTATCATAAGAAGCACAATTATGGTATCAGCCAATTACAGTGCTGCAATGCCCTCAATTTAAAAGAGATAATTTATCCTGGTCTCAGACAGAATCAAGCCAATAAATGCAGTGGACTTGTTAGGAAATGTGTGAAGGCAGGTGTTCAGATACCATAGGGGTGGCACAAGTTCCTGAATAGAACAGAACTGAGCTAAGCCAGCATGAAACTAACATAAGAGACTAGAATCAGGATCACACTTCCCCATCTTCCACATCCTTTTCAGATGCTACTGTCATGTTACCATATAAAGTGATCCATTATCTGAGGTCACAAAAATATTTTTGGTTCAAAAGAAATAAGTTACATAGTTAAAACTGAAAACACAAGCAATTTCCTGACTTGAAGGCAGGGAGCTGAGCAGAACACGGCTATACCTTAACAAAAGCAACTGTCAGTCCCTCTGAAATAAAGGCCAAGTTAGAAGACGGTTTATAAATCAATTATTCTAACAATTTCAAAACAATGTCTGGCTGAATAATAATAATGAAAGTATCCAAAAAGAATACGCTAAGGTGCACATTAACCTAGGAAGAAAAGACAGAAGTCACTGTATTAGTTATCCATAGGATTAGTACCATTTTACAAAGGCTAGTTTGGCTTTCTGGGAATAGAAACAGAGTTCCTCTAGTTCTACATGACTTGTTTTAGCCGCAGATATTGCCAGCCTTATGCAAGATGGAGGATTCAGCACAGAGATGCAAGCTCTCCTGTTTATTGTAAAGCTTCAATAGCCTTACAACACTTAGCATCAATAACTCCCTTTGACTGGGATTCCCTCTCTTGGCAAAGGCTGCAGGGGTTCCATGCTGTTGCTGCTGTCAGAAGCAATTGCTAGTTCCATGTTCAAGTGGTAGATGCTCCAGCAGTCCAATCAGTTTAAGTCAATTTCTGTATTTTTTCTCCATTTACGGTCAGTGTCGTTGTAGCCTGTGAGGAAACAAGGGTGGCTGATGAAGTCAGCAGCAGTCTGGGACTTGAACAGAGTAAGTTAGCTAACAACCACTCTGGAGAGAGCCAGGCTGTTCCAATTATGTTCCTCTTCTTCCCCAGCTTCAGT